TAACCCCTCATTTTACCTGTCAAACTTTCATAGCGAATCAAAACAAACATTGCGTAGTACTAGAATTTTGACTAGAATGGGGTACGTTAATCGATTTGCTTGGGACCAATAGGCTAGTCAAGTACCCAAGTAACAATTCTGGTTTTATGAGGGTTCTGTAGACCATGATTTAGACTTGTAGAATGCTATAAAACCTCTATAAAACTTGCAATGTTACTTGGGTAGTGAGCCAATTTCAAATCGATAGTTTCGTATTGATTGTTGGTATTATCAAGGTGGACTTTTAAGTTACAGTTACGGGACAAGCCGAGGTGAATTGGAGTGTGTAAATAGTGTGGACTGTGTTTTAGCTGCATTGATACAAATCTTCCAGCTTTTGAAATAGTCGGACAGAACATCCAGGCCTGATTGGAGTTTTTTTCGTTAGAGCACGTATCACTCGACCCTTATAGATGATGGCAGTGTCATCTGCAAACATTGACAAAATACCACCACCCGGAAGGGGAGGAACATCTGACGTAAAGATGTTGAAGAGGATAGGACCAAGGAGGCTACCCTTATCTGCCCGACAAGCAGTTTTAGATGATCTTAACAAGGAAGATCGGGAAGTTGTATCGATGTAGTTTGTACACTAGGCCATCATGTCAGACATTGTCGAACGCCTTCGCGACGTCCAACAATGCCATGGAAACGGACTTGTTCCGCTTGATAATGTTAGTAGCCCTTTCGAGTTGGTGGATGGTAGAGTGGCCTTTCCTAAACACGAACTGCTCTTTGATAAAGATGTTATTATCATTTGAAAACACCAGCAGACGGCTGAGTATCATCTTTTCGAATAGCTTCGAGATGGAGGACAAGAGACTGATGGGGCGATAGCTTTTGGCACTGGTAGGGTCTTGCCAGGCTTGTGGATTGGAATGACTTTGGCTAACTTCCAGCATGCAGGGAAGTAGCCAAGCACCAAACACTTATTGAAGACCGCTGCAAGGTGCTCGAAGAAGTCAACATTCAAGTTTTTGTATTTGTATTTATTGTATAAATCCATCTGACATCGTGGTCTTAATGAATAAAACTTAACTAAAAAAAAAACTTTAACACGTTGCACAGAAAAAACAAAATCATTCTGGTCGATTCCGTAGGCGGTTTCGAAAGACGTTGGTAGAGATATTGAAGTCAAACAAGCTGTAATTGTCTTGGAGTCTTCGACTCATCGAATCGCTGGGATTGTTGGATCCGTACTGTGTTCGTCTCGTTGGCTGGCGCAATAGCTGTCTAGATAGCAGCACTCGTTGAGGGGCGTAGATGTTGAGCTGACTCAGCAATGCAGGGCAGTCTATTTCGGAGCGTAAAATGTTGTCTGCTAAGATAGCTTGGCTGAACTTGCGTCTATCCACTAGCGGTTCAATACCAAGCAGCGCACAGCGGTGCTCGTAGGGTGGTAGTCGTAATGAACCGGTCCATGGCAAGCCTCGTAGAGCACATCTCACAAATTTTCGCTGCACTGATTCGATTCGTGAAATCCACACAGCATCGTACGGAGATCAGACGGCAGAAGCAAATTCAAGAATTGATCAAACTAGCGAGCAATACATAGATCGCCAACACAGAGGGTCATCAAATTCGTTCGCTATCTTGAGAATAAATCCAAGTTGACGATTTGCTTTATCAACTATTTCCGAATAGTGAATTTTGAATGTGAGTTGATAATCCAGTACCACACCCAAGTCTTTAACATGATCAACCCGATTCAGTACAGTGCCATTGATAGTATAGTCATGTAGGATAGGATTTCTCGTTCTTGGAAAGGATATGATACAGCATTTGGACACACTGACTGCTAGATGATTCAGTGCACACCAACTGACAAACAAATCTAGCTGTTGTTGCAATTGACGGCAATCATTGGTGCTCCTAACAAACAGGTAGATTTTCAAATCGTCTGCGTAGAACATTAGGCAGCAATTCAGAAGAACGTGGGACACATCATTGAAGAACAACGCGAATAACAGCTCCCTTGCGGCACCCCACATCGAGGAATGAAAGGTGCAGACACGGCTGATCCAATTTTCACGAACAATTGACGGCCAGTCAAATATGATCTCAGCCAACTACAAATTCTCGAAGATGCTCCTAGTCGCTCCAGCTTAGCCAACAGAATATCGTGATTAACTGAGTCGAACGCAGCCTTTATGTCAGTGTATATGCTGTCGATTTGACCTCCTTGCTCCATTTCGCTGATGCAAAACGACGTGTATTCACACAGATTAGTGATGACTGAACTTTGCGGAAAAAATCCATGCTGAGATGTTGAAATGTACGTTTTATAGGCCTGGAACATAATATCATTGAGAATTATCTCAAAGCATTTGGATCCGGCAGGCATCGAAGTTATTCCACGATAGTTCGACACATCCACTTTACTGTCTTTCTTGAAGATAGACTGCATGACATCTTCCAAGCGATTGAAACTGCTGGCTTCGAAGAGAGAGGTTGAATATAGCTTGCAGAGGTGTAATCAACATGTCACTACATTTTTTCAATATGCACACAGGAATACTGTTCGGTCCAGGTGATACAGATGATTTCAGCTTTTTCAGTGCATTCTCCACCATCGTCTGATTAACATCGAAAATATCAATGTCGAATGCGTCCACGGGCAGGGACCCTAGTGTTTACAAAATTCCAGAACTGTTTAGGATTTCTTCGCAGATTGTCCTGAACACGTCTTACGTATCTGCCGTACAAGTAACGGTTGTAGCTCCGATAGTTGTGACTGGCTCGTGCAAGCGCCAGTTTGGTGATGCCATTTTTGCGTGCCGAGAAGCGTTTAAGCATCTTAGATCGAATACGTCGAAGGTACTGTAAGCGAGAATTGGACCAAGCAGGTTTTCTCCGAGGTCTTGACAACGGAACACAGAATGTGAAGCAATATAGTATATTGTTGAAGCAACTAACAGCATCATCTACGTTGCTACACCGACAAACAGTAGACCAATCAACTTGAGAAAGCATAGAGTTGAGTGCGTCACAATCAACTTTACTAAAGTCACGATCATGTTCATCGACGTTCTCAACAAATGGAAAGATTGCTGAACAATACACCGTGAAAACAAGAGCTGGATGATGAGGATCGATATCCACAACCGACTCCGGGGCCTCATCAACTGAACTGCAATCTGTCATGCAGTCGTTCGAAAATATCAAATCAAGCGTTCTGTCCAAGTGATTCCGTATCATATTTCGTTGTCTCAACCCTCCAAAAGCAAGGCTGTCCAGAGGATCAGGAAATGCGTAGACGTTGTTCACTGATTTCCAGACGATTCGAGGCTGATTGAAATCCCCGAAAAAGATGATCCCATCCAGGGTTACTTCCACTCACTTGCTATAAAAAAATGTTTTTCGGAATTATGATATCATGATATAGTATAATGCTAATTAGTACTTGTACGTTACAATAAGAGGTCATGAAGTATATGTTTGACACATAAAATCTGTCAATATTGCTTTCAGTGCGTCACAATCAGCGATTTTACGACTCGTGAGCGCTCACTCTGAGTGAACGCTCACGAATCATAAGATCGCTGATTGTGACACTCTCAAAGCGAAATTGACAGGTTTTATGAGTCAAACACATACTTTACACCCTCTTCTTGTTACTTACAAGTACAACATAGCATTATAACATATAATGATTGCATAGTTTCGAAAAATATTTTTTTATCGCAAGTGAGTGGAAGCAACCCTGATCCCATCATTTCATTAATTTCCGAAACAATGTCAGCGTGAGATTGGATGCACTCGCAATCAGCGGACTTCTCTGGTGGTACGTATGAAACACCAACGAAGATAGACCTTGTTTCGGATGAGATCTTTACCCATACCCATGTTTCCGTGAAAACAAACACATGATAACTGTTTTCCGAGGTTGCAAGGAAGACGTCGGTGATTTTGGTTTTAAGCCCTCGGACGTTTTGATAATAAAAATGTAGTTGAGATTTTGACGGATCACACGAAGCAACTATCGTGTCGGTTGTGCTTTCTCTGCCATTCCTGTCCCTCGAACAGAGCTGAAACTTGGGAGCAAGTCAGGTACCGGATTGCTTCGATTGCAGTCATACTTGCCTGAGGTGGAAGCTTGGAAGACCCCATCACCGTCCTCAACAGCAGGGCCAGAACGACTACTACTTTTCAACTCGAGGTTGATCACTCCATCGACACCAGCGGCCTGGTTGACACCATGTTCTTGGTTGATTTAATCGCTGCTATCACCTCTCGATAGAGCTGGAATTAGGGCCTAACAGCTTTTGTAAATAATGACTTCTCTCGAATATTTCTAGGAATTCAAGGTACACCCACGCAAACCAACATAAGCATCGGTTAGGGGAAGTCTTCCCCTACCTGATTGTGGTATTGATTTGCTTGGACAAGCCTTGAGTTTCTAGAAATCATTGATAGAAGTCATTGTTTACAAAAGCTGTTACGCCCTAATTCCAGCTCTATCTAGTCCTCATCAGCCGATATTCTACTTTCGTCAGGGACAACTACGGGGGTGGCAGCGACTCCAGACATTGCCTCCAATACTGCAGTGTTGTAGCTCCGTCAAACACCACGCACGCATTTTCGAAGGACATTTATCAAAAACATTAAGAACAGTGAGCAGCTCGATTGTCAAGTCCCATTCCAGATTTCTACAATCTCTACAGAAAGTTGTTTCAGCTTCTGGAAACCCTCAAAATTGGTATCCTTTTGACCATGGAATCCGTGCCAAACAGCAACCAAAAAACCAAACGCTTTCCTCCGGAACGCTATGGTCAGCCGAAAGTTCATTAAAATTGCACATTAAAACAAATTTTAATTAAAAACCACCCTGCCCCCGAAAACAAAAAAAAACCCCTTCCTTGTAGTACGTAGCTACCGAACACAGCCAAAAATGTCACCAAGTAGCCTGCTAACCGTCAGTTTTTAACTCTTTTTTTTATTATTGATTTACGTAATTACAGGGCACAGTAATCGTTGGCGAAATGAGCACCGAGCTGTAGAGAGAGAGACTGTTTGGCCGTCGTCACCGTAGTTGCCAGACAACCAGACTCCATCAGTGACGTCAACGCCACCACGCTGCGCTGCAGGGCTGCTGCGATATCTGGAGATTTAAAACGAAGCCTTGTCACACCGAAACCGAAACCGAAACCCGCATCGCAGCAGAGTTGATGGTGAAGCGGAAGGGGGACAAAAAAAACGGTAGCAACGAAGCAGTTCTTTTTTTTTTTATACGTCATAGCCTACTACGTAAGGATGCAGTAAAAATATTCAAAGTGTTGTGTTTTACTTTTAAGCCTTTCGAGACAGAAAGCGAGAGAAAAACAAAATTTGTGTAAATTTGAAAGGATTATCAACCGAAAAAAAATAACGATAAGACACAGTAGATGTTTGATGTTGAACGTTTCTCGCTGAACGCTTCTTTAGATGTGTTTTTAGATATGTATACTTTTTAAGAGAATTTTTAAATGTACTCCAAATCAACCTCTATTTTGCTGCACGTCTCTTCCTCAGTATAATTTAATCGTTCTACAACTGCAATTGCGTACCAAATACTAAAGTTTTAGTAAACATTTTTATTAAGTAAGTATACATGTATTAATAGTGAATGTTACTGCCGGTGTTTGTATTGAAATGATTAGAAACACGCATCTCCCTAGCCCCCTTCTTCCCTTGTTCTTATACACATACGTGCAAACATATACAGATACTTATATACTTGTTTGGGTAGGGCTTGCCACCACAACCAGTCAGAGCAGCTACAGTTCTCAGTGTTGATTAAAGTCGATTATAAAACGAAGAATTTTTAAAAACAACATTTCCCTGTCAATCGGTGTGTCGTAAGATTTTCGACTCTTGTATTTTTAAGGAACAATCTTAGACATTTAAAAGAACGCAAATCAAAGTAAATTGGTAAACCAAAAAAAAAAACAAAAGAAACACAAAACAAAACACAACCTTACGAAGAAGATGGCCACGAAAATCAAATTCTACTTCCAACCTCTGAACTGATGGAACCGAGTGAAAATTTATGAAAATAAATCATAAACGTTTATTTACGAAAGTCCGGCGGTAGTCACTGCTAAAAGGTATCCGAACGATCCGAAGAGGCTTCAGCTCCAATGCTCACGCGAGAAAAAATGCATCCTGCAGGAAAACAATTTATTGAAAACACATTTATTGTTATGATTGGATTTCGTTCAACAACTAAATATTTTACGCATTTTTTCCCTTCCTGTACAAACACACACTCACACCAGCGGGAGCTCATTCATTCAGCCAATCTGGCCTCGGGCGAAAATCCTATCCACAAACGTTGGCCCTCTCCCGCTCGCTCAGAATTTCCTCCGATTTTCCGAGCGAGGAAAAACGTCGATGATGATGCCGATGATATGGTTCCGGCTGCCGGCCTTTTACCCAACAGACGACGAGCTGAACAAGAGGGTTGAAAGCAATAACCTACACTGAAAAAAAAGAGTGAATAATATGCATTGAAAATCCATCCAAGCACAAACGGACAACAACAACAAAAAATGGAAAAATGCCCTTTATTTTGCAATAACAGCAGCTGGAAATTCCGACACAAGGTGGAAGACCCAAACCTACGGCGGGAACGGGGGACGGTTATCATTTCCATAAAATCGATCAATCCCGGGCGCATCATCATCGTCGTCGTCGGTCGGTTGGGGTCGATTGTGCGAGAGGATCAGCCCATGCATCCCGCGTCCTGGCCGTCGTCGGTTTGGTTGCGATGCAGAAGTTCAAATCGCGTCGCGGTCGGTGCAATTTGTTCACCTTTTTGTCGTATTGATTGATATGCATGATGAAATAGACACGTGCACTCCTTTCGATGCCTACCTACCCACCACCTTGGTTTTAGAAAATCCACCCAACTGGTTACATTTTAATGACTTTCGGAGCCCTTGAATAAGTACGGACCTGCTGTTCGGTATTCAAATTGTATGCATTTTTTTTTCTGTGTGGGGGTTTTCCGCTTATTTTTATTCTAGTCATTGAATTACAGGGTGTCTGAGAATTATCCGAACAAATCGAAGGTCATGTAATTTCATAATTTTGGTACTTTTAAAACAAAATCAATCCACATAGATTGTTCATTTTAAAATATCCACTGAAAATCCAATGATTTGGCAACCTTTGACTCGAGAGGTTTTTTGGATGTCAAACTGGTGAATTTGTAGGCTCTTGTTGCACAATCAAATCGATTTTACCGGAATGATGGCATGCCCATGGTTAGCTTCCTTTGTAATGAGAACCTACCAATTATTCCAGCCCATCAAGATTACTGGCAACACTGCTAGCTACGTTTTCTGCTGCGATTAGGTCGTTAATTAGTGATACTTTTTTCGGTGTTATATCGGTTATAAAATACTTTTTCGTCGTTCGTGATTCAGTTTTTGTACTACTGCTTTCTGTTTTCGTGAATTTCGATCGGTGTGTTGTGATTTTCGTGGTGCGGTGATAAAGTGAAAGTGACTCATTGTTTACATACACTTTCCCAAGCACTCCCCACGCGAATTTTTTTTTTTTCCGAAGCGCCATCTGCCAGCAAAACTTTTAAGCTTGCAATCTTTCATTGAGCTCGTGGTGTAACTGCTGCATAAATTTCGGCGAATTGCTGTCGTCTGGACCCTACTGTTGTATTGCGCTACGTTGGAATTTCGTTGTTGGTCTGCATCGCCTTGTTCCTGCAAAATGAGTGTAATCTGCCACGCTTGCACCAATGATGTCCAAGAGGATCGCATTACCTGCCGTGGGTTCTGTAGCGCGGTGTTTCACCTAAAATGCTGTCACCTGCCAAGTGAAATGTTGGATGAAATCGATCGGAATAGGCAGCTCTTCTGGATGTGTAAATCCTGTGCTGCCATAATGTCAGACGTTCGTCACAAGAAAAACGTGAAGGCTGCTTACGATGCTGGTTTGGAGAAACAACTGAGCGGTCATACTGAGCTACTGGGGAAACTAAAACTGGAAATTCTGGAGGAATTGAAAATCGAAATTCGATCCAATTTCACAAAGTTGACCAATACCACTTCCACCACTCCGGTGTCCTCTAGACGGTCTGGTAATAGGTCACGCACCATAGGAAGCCGACGGTTATTCGAGAAAAAGGACAATAACTTGCCACCTCTTATGACTGCTACCGGAGATTCGCCGTCTCCAAGTCTAGGCCGTCTAACTGTTCCCGTTTCTAAGGATAAGTTTTGGTTATACCTATCTCGGATTTCCCGTGACGTTTCTGCTGAGCAGATCACCGAACTTGCCAAGCATCGTTTGTCAACGGAGGATGTTGAAGTTATCCGACTGGTTGCTAAGAGTAAAGATATCCAAACCATGTCGTTTGTCTCCTTCAAAGTAGGCGTCTCTACAAATTTGAAGGCGAAAGCATTGTCGTCCTCTACATGGCCCAAAGGAATGCTGTTTCGTGAATTTGTTGACAACCGCAAAGCCGAAAATTTTTGGAAGCCGCCTGGATTGCCAATAAATACACCGCAGACAACTCCGAAATCCAGCGAGTCACCTCATCAAATGCCTATGACGGAGTGATATCACTGAGTCAAGACCCAGAGCCACTACGTCGTATTACCTACTACCCGAATCCGGGACGCTCACTTGCCGCTAGCTTCTTGGAAGCCCCTGATCCCCTCATCACAGTCGAGCACCTCCAGCCAGCGACCTTCAGCCGTCCCGGTCCTGTGTATGAGTCCGGAAAAGGGGTCTTCCAAAATCCAACTGCAGGCGAGTATTCTAGTTTTCCGAACAATTCTGTCCCTGAAACGCTTATCACTTCTAGTCGTAATTCGTCAATAAACTCGTTCGTGGTTTACCCTAGTCGGACACCGGGACGCACACTTGCCGCATGCTTTTTGGAAGCCCCTAATTCACCCATCGCAGTCGAGCCAATTCTGCCAGCGACCTCCAGCCGTCCCGGTCCTGCGTTTGGATGTGAAGATGGGGTCTTCCGAAACCCTATTTCAGGCAAGTACGATGATAATTCGAGCAATTCTCTTCCTAAAATGTATGATGCTTACAGCCGCTTATTGCAAAACAAATCACATCCTGTTGTCTTCAACATGCCACTGGGACGCACACTTGCCGCCAGCCTTGTGGAAGCCCCTAGTCCTCTCATCGCAGTCGAGCCTAAGCTGCCAGCGTTCAACAGTCGTCCCAGCTCTGCGCATGAGTTGAGAGAGGGGGTCTTCCAAAATCAAACCGTAGGCAAGTACAGTCAGCAAACAACAACTTCTCTGCCTGTAAATATCTTGGTTTCCAGAGTACCATCTTACGTCTCTGCTCCACGACAATTGTGGTCTAATATTGACAATAACAGCACACCAGCCTCACCATGTTCAATCCAGTTGCCGCTGCACGTCGCAGGTAATTCTCCAGAAGCATCGAGGCCCTCTGACCTTGTCCTGCAAGATGCTGTTTTTGTTCATCGCAACCGACTCGTTCCTGAGATTGAAAGTGGTAGTCCTGTGATCCACCCAGTCTGCGCTCAGACTCAACAGATTACTGGCATGCCTCCCTCATATTCTTCTTCTCAACTTCGTATCTTCTATCAAAATGTCCGTGGACTCCGAACGAAGATCGATGCCTTCTATCTCGCTGCGGCAGATTCGGAGTATGATGTGATAGTTCTAACCGAGACGTGGCTCGACACTTGCATCCTATCTACTCAGCTATTTGGTGGATCATTCACTGTTTTTCGGACTGATCGCAATCCACTGAACAGTAGAAAGCTGCGCGGCGGTGGAGTTTTGATTGCAGTGTCTACCAGATTGTGCTGCTGTGTCGACCCAGCTCCAGTTAGTGATGCTTTGGAACAGCTGTGGGTAAAAATCAAATTGCAAACGTGTTCAGTCAGTATTGGAGTATTATATCTACCACCTGATCGTAGAGATGATCTGTCCCTCATTCAGCTTCATAGCGATTCTGTTAGTTCAGTAATATCATGCTTGAAACCTCATGATTTTGCGCTTCAGTTCGGTGACTACAATCACCCCAACATGCATTGGACTGCTTCAGAGGATGGCGGACTTCATATAGATTCCAGTATATCCCGTTTTTCAACTTCGGATGGTGCTCTATATGATGCCTTTTGTTTCAATGGTCTGACGCAAATCAACTCTGTGAAAAATGCCAGTTCTCGTACTCTTGACTTAGTACTGGTGAACGATACAGCACTACCTAACTGCAGCATTTCTAAAGCGGTTGAATCTCTTGTAGAACTCGACACTGCACATCCCGCTATTGAGGTTGCCGTTTCTTTGCCGTCACCAGTGAGATTTGATCAGCCACACGAGAACCCGCAATTCGATTTCCGCCGTGTCAACTATGACTTGATGAGTGAAGCATTTTCTGTGATTGATTGGCAATTTTTGGATGACGAACGAGATCTGGATGACATCGTTGAGTCGTTCAACTCTGAGATACGTCGTGTTATCGAAGCTCACGTGCCACTTCAGCGTCCTACTCTGAAACCTCCATGGACAAACAATCGGCTTCGTAGATTGAAGCGCCGTCGACGTACTGCTCTTCGGAAATTCAAACGTAATCGATCACAACACCTGAAACGTCGTTTTGTTCTGGCCAGCAATAAATACACTAGCTTTAACCGCGAAATGTATGCTCGTTATATAGACCGTACGCAGAGAAATCTACGCCTGCATCCCAAACGTTTCTGGTCATTTGTTCGGTCGAAGCGTAAGGAAAATGGGTTACCTTCGTCTATGTATCTCGGTGCCCGCTCTGCTAGCACAGATGCCCACAAGTGTGAGCTGTTTGCTGATCACTTCAAGAGTGCCTTCTCGGACATGTCGATTTCGTCCTCGCATCTAAATGCAGCCATCCATGACACACCATCAGATAGGCTCGACTTTGGAATTTTCCAAATCACTGAGGAGCACGTACAAAAAGCGATACGTAAACTTAAACATTCTGCGTCATACGGTTCGGATGGTATTCCTGCATGCATTCTTAAGAATTGCTCAAGTGTCTTATTGATGCCGCTAGTGAAATTGTTTAATATTTCATTACAGCGAA